GCTGACGCAACAATATCATGAGCGATTTATTAGAACAGGAAACAGTTTTATCAGACACCCGTAGAAAGATGTGCAATTCAGCATTTCACCTATCAAACAAAAACCTTACCAAAAATATATAATGACAACATATACTATAAAGTTATTATGAAAAACGTCCGTAACATTATATAAGTTCATATTAAACATTCAGTACTTGGTTGGTCCTCCTCGCACATTAACACCTCCGTAAGGCGGCGTGGCTTGCTTTCGACGAGGTTTCGATACAATAGGTGCATCCAGCACAATATAGTACTCAGTTTCGCTAAGTAGCCACGGGGATTTTTTTCTGTAAATGCCGCCGTTCTTTGTCATTTTCTGAAAGCAAGAAAAGACCGCTACCGAAATGAGCGCTTTTTGTTATTTCTATAAGAAGTGTCGAACGGGAGATATTCACTTAAATTAAGATCAATTTATTTGACACCATGCAATAAAATCATGCATGTATATAAAACCGACATAAGAAAAATATATACACCAAACAATAACATACTCAAACACGTTTCTCTATTTATGCGTGTTTACTATTTACTCTTTTATGTTTATGTTTTCTTATAAAAAAAAGCCACATTGAGCTATCTGCTGTGTCTATCGAGGGAAATCGAACTCCTGATTTTAGTAATGTAAATCCGAAGATCTATCGCTGTCCCACTGGCGGACCTTCGAAATAATTCTTTGAATCAGTTGATAAAGAAAGTTCCGTTTTTTCGTGAAATTCCCTCACAGTAAGAAACACTTTTATTCGTGATTTTTTTTTTTTTCAGATTGACTGTTCAGCACATACAAAGACTAACGGATCGATTTTGATATAAATATAAAATTTTAGGAATTGCAAAAAATGAATAATTTTCCTGTAATTTACTTTTGAAAAGAAGCATTTGATATTTTCTACAATTAACCGTTCAGGAGATACAGAGTGTGACAGACACAGTCAGACAGAGAAGTGCATGTCTATATAAATTTTTGTTACTGTACTAATATAAGCAGACAATTCGCTCTAACAATTAAAATGTATTGGGAACTGCAGAGTCATAGCTTTACTTTTATACACTAGATAGCGCTAGTTACGAGATACTCCTTTTATTGCAAGCTTAGGTTGGAATGTTTTTTTTAGAGTGTATATAGTTTAGGAGTGTATTTGACGATGTGAGTACGGTTAGTCGGTCAACGAGGATTAATTTGGTTTAATTGTGATGTATGTGGGTTAGTAGCATATCATCAGTATTTGGTGCACAGAAAGGATCTGAATTTTGAAAACTATTTGAAGTAATAAAAACAGTTCAAAAATATACATAATGGCGGATTCTGATAAATTAAATATCGATAACATTATCGCTCGACTCTTGGAAGGTGAGTAACCCATTTGAAACCTCACTATTTGAGCCCTAAATCATACGTAGTACTAAGACTAAGAGTTAATGTCTATGTTATTGTTAAACTATTATGAGCCGACAGCAGAAGCTTGCGTTGAAAATAATTATAACATTAGCAAAAAAAGATTCAGAACAAATGTAAATAGTCTATATTATTAATATTTGAAAACTAGTACTAGTAGGTATATTGTTTCATTTTGCAGTTTAATATTCATATTACTGTTACTCTTGGTACACCAAATTATTGATTTAGCATTTAATTTGAACTTTAAGAACATTTTTTATATAGGGCCAGATTATTATAATTTCTGTGTATGAGACTGTACCATTTAATTTAGTTAGGAAAATTTAGGAGTGTGTACATGTTATATTGTAAGTGTAACGCTATTGTAATGTAATTTTTGAAGAACATGTATATATCCATGTTTTGATGTAATTTGTAAATGTAAAACATTATAAAGAATACAATTTTTTGTGGGAAATAGATCATTTAAATTTTTTTCTTTGTGTGTAGAGAAACACTTAATTTAAGTGGCCTCAAATTCAATGAACCTCAAGTTGGCCCTGATGCTAATAGAAAATTTATGAAATATGTGTGATGTTTGTAATATTTTCAGTCAGTGGACTTTATCTGAAAGAGAACAACATAACAAAAACTAAATTAATTGAAATTTATAATGAATGCACAACTTTTTTGTTGTTGTTGAAGAACTTAGACTTCTACGGTAAGTGTACTTATTTAGTATCAGTATACAAGATTTTTTTTTAAACCTAAAGAAATTAGCAATCCATGACACCTTGGAAAAGCATAGTTGATTTGTATTTTTCTTTGATGTAGTGTTCTGTGTCATTATCTATGATACATGTAGGGGGGAAAGTATTCAAAAAATGTGAACATATCTTTTAAAAAATTTTTTTATTGGAATAAGTAACTGAAAACTAAATTTCATTGTAAATTAATTACATTCTTTATAGTTAAGGTGGTATTGTACTTTACCTGATTATAAAGATCTCTAGGTTACTACCAGACTGAATAAATATTTGTAGATTAAGAACAACTTAAAAGATAACTGTGTGCATTAGGTTGCTAGTTAATCTATGAGTGATTAAACTGTAGAAATCACTTTGTGATAGCTACGTACGTGGAAAGGCATTTATTTAGTTTGTTGTAGGCTGGTAACATAAATGTGCTTCTCCTGCTAAGTGTACTTACAAATCTGAATGAGGTTACACCTTTATTGTTACATATTTTCTGTATGTTCTAAATGAAGATGATAAACAATTTCAGATAAATGTTTTTATTCTACCCAACATTTTGGTTTATGCCTTCTTTTTTTTCCAAGGGTCTATGAAGGTCACAGGTTACAAAACTGATATTAAATTATAGTAGCCAAGAAGAATGTAAAACTATAATATAATGGTGCACAGTGAAGCGTACTAAAAGTATTGTTGAACAGATCAGAGTCACTGATCATAAATGTTAAAAAAAGATCTTACATGAACAATACTTTTAGTATGCTTCACTGTGCATCGTTCTATTATATTGTTGTAGTTTTGCATTCTTCTCGGCTACTATAATTTAAAATCAGTTTTGTAACTCATATCATTCATATACCCTTGAAAAGGGCATAAACCGAAGCTTTGGATGAATTAAAAAAACAACATTTATCTGAAGTAGTTTGTCACCTTCATTGAAAATGGTTTCCATCCTTCAGTCAGCACTGAAAACTGTAAAAAATGATGAAAATAGTTTCTGTTTGTCTCCTTGGATGCTTTTAGAAAAATTTGATGGTCCTATGGGACTAGTCTTATACATTCTGACTAACCCAGTATTTTAACATTTTTCATACCATTCATAATATTCACAGCTTTCATTACATTAAAGATACTGATAAAAGACAAAAGGTCAAGTAACAAACACAACATGTGGTCATTGAGGGATTATATATGTTCTTTCCTTGAAAAAGTAAAAGGTTTAAACCCACCCTTTGTTATTCCGGAAATCATCGATCATCCTCTTTAACTCCTGTAAAGTGTTGGCCTAAACTACAGCCAATTGCAACTTTAAAGTCAAGTGCGAACTTAGAAAGATAAAGGTTTCTTAACTAGAGTTTACTTGGTCTTTTCCAAATTTTAAATTTGTGTTTTTGTCCTGTTGTCTTTGGAATATAGCACACAAAAAAAATTGGAGACCTTTATCATATCAATATCCTGGATAACTTTATAAACTTCAATAACATCATCTCTTACCTCCCTTTTCTCAAGTGAAACTAAATTGAAATATCTTAAAGAATCCTTTGAAGATAATTCTTCCATTCCAGAATCATCCTTGCCACCCTCCTCTGAATTCTTTCCAATAAGTCAGTATCCTTTCTCAGATAAGACCAGAACTGTACACAGTATTTAAGGCCTAACTAGTAATTTGTATAGAGATATAATACTCTCTTTTTACTTGTAACCAACATTTATAAATATATCCTAAAGTTCTTTAACTTTACTACTTGCAACAGCCAGTGGTTTGGTAATTTGATTGACGTATCCACCACTATGCCAAGATAGTTTTCTTCGGTCACACTGTTGAATTATTTCCACATTTGTATGAAACGTATGATCCAACTGCATTGCTTTTGCACTTACTATAATTGAAGAACAAAAGTTAATTACAAATCAAAACTCAGAAACTTTACAGAATGAAACTATTTAGGTCACGATTAAATTATCATAGATTTTATTACTTGCATTGGCATCCAGAGGATTTTTCTGGGAGGGTGGAGGGCAAAATAGTGTGAAATTGTGAAGTGAATGAAAAATTCATAAACATATGCTGAATGAATAAAGAAAGAATTATGCTTCTCATTTTCCAGAGGAATAGAGAGGGTATTGGGGAGTTATATATATCTGTCTAACAATGTGTAAATTTAATAAGTAACAGAGAATTCATAAAAACTCGTTGAAAAGTGAGAATACATTTCGAAACCAGCATCTGCACGTGAATACTTCAAAAGAATGATTCTACAAGTATGTAGCAAAAGCTTGTCTAAACATTGTCAAACACATTATAGGGCCCTTATTTCAACACATGTCAAACAGTGCTTCGTAAGGCAGATAGAGAAAATAAACATGTAGTGGGGTTCTTCACAAAACCTGCTATTTTCTGTCAAGCTTACCATATAGAAGTAAAGCAAGATGTTGTTTTTTCACTGTGCCAAATAGTGATACGAGTTAGTAACTTGCCAGCATTCTTTATAAACATCACAAACTAGTTTCTGTTTTTAAACTGTGGTGATTGGTATAGACTAACTGTGGTATCATTTGTATTCCATAGTCCTTAAATGTAGCTGGTATCATTTGTATTCCATAGACCTTAAAAATAACTGTGGTATTATTTGTATTCTAGAGTCCTCAAACATAGCTGTGGTATCATTTGTATTCCAGAGACCTTAAACATAACTGTGGTATCATTTGTATTCCAGAGACCTTAAACATAACTGTGGTATTATTTGTATTCTAGAGTCTTCAAACATAGCTGTGGTATCATTTGTATTCCAGAGACCTTAAACATAACTGTGGTATCATTTGTATTCCAGAGACCTTAAACATAACTGTGGTATCATTTGTATTCCAGAGACCTTAAACATAACTGTGGTATCATTTGTATTCCAGAGACCTTAAACATAACTGTGGTATCGTATGTATTACATAGACCTCTAACATAGCTGTGGTGTCATTTGTATTACATAGACCTCTAACATAGCTGTAGTATCA